CACACCTACTATATATATATATATATATACATACATCTACACTCATATACATGTACACACTCACACACTTACACATACACACTTACACACAAACATACATATACACACATATATACACACATAAATATATACGCATACACACATACATACACACATACTCGCATATACACAACACATGGGTCTATTCTAGGCTTGTATGATGGGCTTGTGCACAGCCCCCTCTCAAGAACATCCTAGATTCGTTGTACTATGTCGAATGAGTTAACGGCATGTAGCTACAGTGTATAACCTTTACAGTGCGCAATCAGCAAATACATAAGTTGTATCTGTACGGAAACTGCCAATCAGCACCTGATCGCAAAGGACAACATATGATAATCAGGCAGAAGCTGGAAATAGCATACTTCCGACTTTTGACACGAAATTCTGACCTTTGTATTCGTCTCTCACTATACAGGTGGTTGTTGTGACAGAGAGTTCTATGGAGGAACGCTTGCGTATCAACGACCTGACACACGCCAAGAATCTTCGCTACATAGCCGCACGGTCCAATGGATTGTTCGGGTAGGTATTTCTGATGGGGTTCGATGTATATTTGGACAGAACTTTCCGAGTACGCGTTAGGATTTATCGATGGTCTGATTCTTTACAGCATATGTATTAATGTATTTGACCGTAGCTACTTAAATAGTACAATATCTGGGGTAGGGTTTAGTATTCAGATAGCTGCTTCATTCACACTATTCAATGGATTTAGGGGTTTTGTGGTCAATACACCCGCCTCACTCTCACCCATGTCCATACATACACACACAGAAACATCTTCGTAGACTTTGGACAGAACTTTGAAGTGGTGGACACGACCGGAGAAGCGGCCAAAAGCTGTATCCTTAGTCACATCAGTCAGGAGGAGAACGGTACGGTAACATGCTCAGACGAGGTGCGACATGGACTGGATACGGGCGACTATGTAACATTTACAGAGGTCAAGGGAATGACGGAAGTGAATGACATGGAGCCTGTAAAGATCACAGTGTTAGGTATGGGCGCGAGAGAAGATATGCGTGCATCGGAAGAGTTCGATTTGCAGGTGTATATGTAGTATGCATATCAGATAGGGTGTATAGTGCATATCACTCGAGAGGCGAACGGTACTGTTACATGCTCAGACAAAAGTCGTGGCTCGGGCTGGATATGGATGACTATATGTCGTTAACTGGGGTTAAATGCATGTCAAATCTGTATGGCATGTATATTCGAAGATCAAGGTGTCGGATATTTATATATGTGTTTGAGTATGCGTTGCCAATGTCAGCTTGAATTTAGGTATTGGTATTCAACAAATCAACTAATTTGGTTTCGATTTTTAGTATTCATTATTTCACAATCCACAAATGTCAGCGGGAAGTTTTGGATCGGTGCAAATTAAATTCTGAAATGTTTACACTCCGTACGCCGTTCTACAACCAAACCACTTACACAATCGAATCTCATGACTTGTTCAACAGGCCCATACTCATTCACTATTGGGGACACACGCTACTTCTCCGCATACGAGAGTGGAGGTATCGCTCTGGAGAAGAAACAGGGGGTATGTGCTAGTTACATATATACTGTTGTGTGAGAGCGTCGTATTCAAATTTTATCTGTATTTGTTGCTTGTATATAAATATAGCTCGTATTTGTTGGTGGCATATCATAAACACTACCTGTATGTTTTGGTTGCTTTACACGCACACCTACTTATTTTTTTGGTTGTTTTGCTCATACGCACACACTACCGGTATGCCTTGGTTGCATATACACACACACTACCCATCTCCAATTTTTCACGTGAATATCAACTTACTTGATATACCTATTGGTGTGAGATAATAGACAATACCATCCAATCACCCACCTCTCAGTTGCATGTTATCTCATATGGTATGGGGTAAACGGAATTAACCAGTCTATGTCCCATTTCTCACTTGAGATGTCTATTTTATTTCCATCGCAGTCGTCTGTATCGTTTAAGTCATTGCGAGAGGCTATGGCCGATCCAGAATTTGTCATCACAGATTGGGGCAAGATGGAACGCCCCGCTCTTCTTCACGCCGGTTTCCAGGTCAGTTGGGTCCTAAAATTGAGTTTCAAAGTACTTTTTGGTCTATATCTGGCTTGCTGCCATTTTAAGTCAGTTAGGGACACACAATCATGAGTGCCGGTCCACTTTTCTTCATGTATTTGGCTTTGTTGCAAAAAGTATATCTCAGCCGAATACCAATCACACCTTGCGCTGCTACCCTCAGGCTCTAAAGTGACCAAGGCGTAGGATACAAAAACCTTCATATAGTTTGATCGATGGTTGACCCCATATTACACACTTCTACAGTCATCCTGAACATGATTCTACACGCATATATCTCAACCATTTCTTGATTACCTACTAATAGAATTTAGAGCTTCTGATGTCTGAGCATAGATATTTCGTATCCGGCCTCAGTGTGCACGCTGCAGGCTGTTGTGCACACAGCTTTAAATACAGACTTTCAATTTATTTAGCCAAATTTAGGCTCTAGAGATGTTCAACGGTTTTGTTGTGTAGACTTGTATACACGTTCAATTCGTGTCTTACCCTGTTCACTGCATCCAACTCAATCTAATCTAAACGCAGCCGACTTGAAGAAGTTTCTATGCATGTGCATGTTTACCTGATTTACAATGTATACAGACTCGAGAGAACCTCATAGCATGAGCTATGTAGTTCTGCGTACATTGTTGTTCAGGGCATACCCTACACAAGCACATCCACTCAAATACCTCGACCACATGATACCATACTATACTCAGGCTCTAGAGAAGTTTAAGACCTACGGTCTATAATCCAATATATAACTACATCTGTCGCTGACCTATAGAACGCGACAAAATTCATACCCTGGAGGTGATCCTAAGACTGCATATACTTGATGTGCATATCAAATATCCACTGGTAAACCTTTATTTAGTCTCAGAGAAGTTCAAGGCTGAGCACGGCAGACTACGGCTTCATATGTCGGATATACATACTGCATATCTCTTGATATACTATATCCAGGCTATGGAGAAATTCAAGGTTGAGCATGACAGACTACGCCTGCGTATATCTGATATACATACTGCATATTCCTTGACATACTATATCTAGGCTGTAGATTTTTCAAGGCCGAGTACGGCAGACTACGCCTTCATATACATCTGATATATATATTAAAAATTCCCCAATGCACTGGATTTAGGCTCTAGAGAAGTTCAAGACTGAGCACGGCAGGCTCCCCCGCCCACGCAACGAGGCCGACGCCACCGAGTTTGTGGACTTTGCGTTGGCTGTGCATAGCAACGCAGACGATGTGACTGCCGATGACAAAGAGCTGCTGAAGCTCATGTCCTACCAAGCAACAGGCGATATCGCACCGATGAATGCCGTGATTGGAGGCTTGGCTGCACAGGAGGTTATGAAGGCTTGCAGGTGTGTGTGTTGCGTGTATTAGCGAGAATACACACACACACGCACACACACACACACACACACACACGCACACACACACACACACACACACACACACACATACACAC